GAGAGAGAGAGAGAGAGAGAGAGAGAGAGAGAGAGAGAGAGAGAGAGAGAGAGAGAGAGAGAGACTTCTTCTTCTTCGGCAACAGTTGATGCTGTTGCCGTTGTCTAGCTGTGCCGCCGCCATGGCCCATTGGTGCTAGCACGAAGAGAGAGAGAGAGAGAGAGAGAGAGAGAGAGAGAGAGAGCGAGAGAGACAAAGAGAGAGAGAGAGAGACAAGATTGGTTGTCACGTACCTGTGAAGATCGTTGTGTGGTCCAACGAAGAAGAAGAAGAAGGCCATAGCCGCGGAGCTCAGCCACGGAGTAATGAAGGAGGATGAGAGAGAGAGAGAGAGAAAGAGAGAGAAAGAGAGAGAGAGACTTCTTCTTCTTCTTCTTTCATTTTTTTTTTTTTTTTTCTTCTTCTTCTTCTTCTTCTTCTTTTATTTTTTTCCTTCTTCTTCTTCTTTCTCGTCACGTGGCTCGTGCGCGCGTACCAGGAGGCGAGAGAGATAAAGAGAGAGAGAGAGAGAGATTTTTTTTTTTGCAGTCCCTAACTCGCCGCGACGCCTCTTGGCCGCTCGGTCCAAGTCGGACCCCATCGCCGCGCGGCCGCTGCTCGGTCCGAGTCAGTCGCCACCGTCGCGCGGCGATTTTAGTGCCCGTCCGTGGCCGAACTCGACCGAACTCAACCGAACTCGACCGAACTCGACCGAACTCGGCCGAATTCGACCAAAACGGCCGAACTCGCCAAGACGTCGGGAGGGGCCATGGCCGCGGGCCCCCGACCCCTAGGGCGGGCCGGCGGGCTGTTCGGGGTGGGGGGCCGCAAGGTTACCAGCAGGGGGCCGTTTTCCAAGCGGGTGGCGAGGACTTCATCTACGGTGTGGAGCGAACAACGACATCGACGGACGGGCCGAGGACTTAGACGCTCGGAGTTAGCTGTGCATAGCAGCATAGGGAGTTCGGGGACGATGACGGGGGGTGAGGGAACCAGCGGTGCAGGGGGGTCTGCGGGTGGGGGGTTCATCCCACAGTCTGACAGGGAGATGGCGAGGTTGAGGCGGGGCAACTTGGTCTGGAACTTCGTCACCACGGGCCAACTTGTGGGGGACCAGTCGAAGATGCATGGGGACCGGAAGTTGCGTTGCAACTTTTGCAGCCACGTCTGGCAGGGGAACGCGACGAAGGCCGCTCGCCATTTCACGCAGCCGAAGTACTGCAAGGATGCGGGGATGAGAGTTCTCGTGGATCTCTGGAACGGCACCGACTACAAGTTTGCGGACAACACTACTCGGCGGGTGCAGAGGTGGATGGCAGAGGAGGGGATACGGGATACGAGAGCGCCCGTGGGTGGGCAGCAGCCACGGACGGACGAGGCAGAGAGGGACGAGATTCAGGACGTCCTCGATAAGTAGGAGGGGGGCCAGGGTGGGGTCGGCGAGGCAGTGATGCGAGGCGACGCATAAGAGGCCCTGACCTACCAAGGGATGAGGTAGTGATGACGTCGAGAGGGGTTGGGCCAGCGGGTCACGCTGCGAGGGCCTCACGACCTGAGTTGGACCGCGCGAGAGGAAGAAGAGGAAAGTGGGGGAGGAGGACGTCGACGTGCAGGACACGATGAGGGAGAAGAGGGCACGACAAATGACGATCGAGGAGATGTACGACAAACAAATGGTTAATGGGGACCTCCATTTTCAGCTCCTGACTAATGGGACCAAAACTGAAATTAGGTTTGGGGGTCAAATTTTTTGTTTTTTTGTTTGTTTTTTTTTTGCCTGTTTTTGTTTTGGTTTAAGGTTCCTGTCTGCCAAATTTGGTATTATTTGGGTTATTAGAATTTGTGCTGTTGGGAGGCCCGAAAATCCTGAAATTTGGATGACGTGTTTCATGCCAAAATTGCCTGAAAATGCACTTTTGGGTTGCTGTTTTATGTGTTTTTAATTTTTTTTATTTGTTTTTTTTTTTTAAATATGTTAGTAAGAAGTGCACTCTATACATTGGTGTGGAGTTTGCTTGATATGGCCTTATGGTTTTCTTATAAATTGACCTGAAAAATGGGGGGTCGGTTAACCTTCTCTCGTACGACAAGGAGAAGTTGGCCAAGTTCTCAGACGTGTGGCTGCAGTGGATCTATGCGAAGGGGTTGCCATTCAACGCCTTCCGAGTGCCGGAGTTCCAGAGGGTTCGTCGGGCGGCAGAGAGAGTACCCCGCACAGTTCGGTTCCAGTTTCCCTCGTACAGGGTTACAGCGGGCGTCGGGATCCCTTCGCAGAGGACGAAGGTAGCGTCGATGGTGAGCGAGGTGCACTCCGCTTTCCAGCACATCGGTGCCACCATCCTCTCCGACGGAAGGAAGTCGCGTAGCGGCAAGCCGCTCGTGAACTTCTTGGCCGGGGGTGCAAACGGCGCCCTGCTGTACGCCACCGTCGCACGTGATGGGTCTGTCCATGATACGACGGATGTCGTGTATCGCAGGTGGTGGACCATCATCTTGTCCTTTCCTGCAAAGGACGTGATCGGCTTCTGCACGGACTCCGCCAGTAACTATACGGCGGCGGCCCGCAGATTCGCCACAGACCCTGACGCGGACATTAGGAGTATCACTTGGCTTCCTTGCTCCACCCACGTCTGCAACTTGATGTTGCCAGATGTCGGGACGCGAGTGGGGTGGGTTAAGGAGACCATCATCCGTGTCCGAACATTAGTGTGATTTATTAAATCGCACGGCGTTGCTCACGCCCTTTTCAGGAGGATGAGCCCTCGCGTCATGCTCGTCGAGCCCGTTGAGACCTGATTTGCATTGGTTTTCTTGATGTTGACGTGTCTCAAAGGCCGGCGAGACGTGCTAGAGACCATGCTGCACGACGACGCGTGGGCTCGCATCCCGTGGGAGCGCAGGCTTCTCGCCCAGGCGCAGTGGATGCAGCAGCAGATCCACGTTGGGGAGTTCTGGCGATGTGTTGACTATGCCATCCACGTTATGGCGCCCGTCCACCAGCTACTGAGGAGGATGGATAGAGGGGGGATGATGATGTCCATCGTGTACGAGTGAAGTCAGCATCTGCTGAAGTTGATGAGGAGAGCGGATGTGCCAACGGACATGGTCGAGCCGTGCGTGGTCGAGGTTGCCATCCGCAACCTCCACATGCTCGAGCCCGCACATGCCGCGGCACACCTCCTCAACCCTCGTCGACGGTCCCTTCGATATTATGAGTCGTTGCAGACGACCAGTGACGACGCCCGTGTGGTCGAGGAGTGTGATAGATTTCTGCTCGTACAGACCGGCGGCAATCCGGTCGGCAGACTGTACAGGACCGTGCGTGACCAGATGAGGTATTTCCACTAGAGGCAGGGAGATTGGGGAGATCGGCAGCTGTTCGATGCCGAGGCGGACGATTGTCGGGGGAACTGCGAGACCGAGCGTTGCGCGGCGTGGTGGTTTGCTCACGGACGTCATCCCCCTGAGTTGCGTACCATCGCGATCCGTGTGATGCACTTGTGGACGTCCGCCTCTCCTGCGAAGAGAAACTGGGCGTAGCACGAGCGCATCAACACGGCGAGGCGCAGCAAGCTTGGGTTTGCCAAGCTAGCACAACTGGTTGAGATTGCCACCAATCTCAAACTGGCTGCGTGCACGCAGCAGGGTGGTGGCTACGTGTTGCCGTGGGTTATGGGGACCGGTCAGGAGGGGAAGGCGGGAGGGGAGGAGGACGACGAGGGAGACGTGGAGCCCGAGGTCTGGGGAGCGTGACCTGCTGGCAGTGTTAGCGAGGAGGACATCGAGCGTCAGGTCGTAGCTTTCCATGCCTGCTGACCGTCCAAAGCCGACCTGGTTCAGGACGTGTTCGGCAAGAGGGTGACGGAGCTACGACCATGGCTGGAGTACACTGCAGGGGCTGGCAGCACTCCGGACGTTGATGCGGACGACGACACGTCCGACGACCAGTGGACGGACGATGATGACGCGCCCATCAGTGGTGACGCGACGGCGGAGCGGGTGTATTTCACTTACCGTGGAGGACCTGACGGCATGGCTCCACACACATCCGTCATCACTGACGATGTGCCGTCGGGTGGACAGGCCAGTGCCATCGGCAGAGTCGGTGATCGTCGTGGACGACGTCCACGTGGCGACGAGGACGTCGAGGAGCAGGAGCCACTTCGGGGCCTTCGGCAGACCCGCAGACGTTGGGAGGTCAGGAGCGACAGCGAGTCGGAGAGGGAGGACGAAGAGGAGGAGGTGCCCCATCAGGATCGTCGGTACTCTCCCGCTCATCATCGGACTACGGGACCACCCCAGCCGGAGAGGCGTTCGGCGAGGTTGGCGTCGGCAGCAGAGAGACAGCGGATGCATGATAGCGAGGATTGTGAGGGGGCGAGGCCTGTGGACATGCCGGACGTGGAGAGGACTCCATCCGGCGCCGGTCTCCTCCCCCGCTCGCCGTCGGAGCTCCGTACCAACGACTTTGACATCGGGGGATCAGGTGGGGGCTTGAGGGATTTTAGTGCCCCGAGACAGGGCGGTGCCTCGCCGTTGGAGCTCCGTACCAACGACTTTGATGTGCGGGACCGTGCGGAGACCGCGGAGGAGCGAGATGCCCAGCTGGACAAAGAGGAGGAGGACCGACTGCAGACTTTGCCGGGATGGGAGGGTCGGTTTGCGTATCTGGAGGAGCAACGTTGACTGAGGGAGTTGGAGAAAGGGGGGGGTGGCGGCGGTGACGCCGGTGACGTGGATGTCCGTGGGGAGGGTGTTGTGGGAGAGGTCCGAGAGGGTGTTGTCGGAGAGGATATCGATGTGGGTGGCGGGGGAGAGGGTGGCCCCCCGGGTGATGAGGGACAGCGTGTCACCGCTGCTGGGGGGGGGGAGGGTGGACCCGGTGGAGATGTCGACGACGACCATCACGGCGAGGACAAGGACGGGTCCGACGACCACGACGGTAGTGGCGACCACGGTGGCAACGACGATGAGGAGATGCTCGCTTTGGTTGTGAGGAACCCTATACTACCTCTCCTACACTACCTCTCCTAGGCCCCGACGACTTCGCGCAGGTTATGCTCGACGCCGACGATTTGGCGCAAGCCGGTACTCAGGACCCTTTCCCCCATACGGGCCGCAGGAGCGGCGAGAGGCGCCCCCCCTGGAGGCGCGTATTCACCCCCAACCTACCTCGTGCAGAGCCCTTGATGGTCGGGCTCGTCACTCAGCGACATCAGAGGGAGGGAGTCCGGGGTGGTTGAGGGCGGGTCGGGCCGCCGCAGTGACGGCAGCGGATCACCGGATTGATGCCCCCACCACCCGCACGAGCCGCGGAGGTGGGCGACGAGGAGACGATGGCCCGTGTGCACATTGCCACATTGGTGGTTCCCCGCCGCCTGTCCAAGGTGGTGTCGCTGGCGGATGGGCAGCTCATCGACGGGTCACGGACCGGTTGAGGGCGGATTACGACGCCGGGACGGGCGCCTTCGCAGGACGTTTGTCACCACGGACTCAGGCTGCGGGCAGCAGCGGCGAGGGTGGCTCCGGACGTCCGAGCCTTCACATAGCAGGCCGTATGCTCGGTTTGTCACGATCGGCGACAAGGAGATCATTGGTCCTCCCGGCCGCAGAGACATCTACGGACATGCAGCAGGGACAACATTACACATTGGGCGAGGAGGGGTTGCTGATGCGTCCTGGGACGAGACGACACGGCGCCATCACGGAGGTTGAGGCTCAACTCGCAGCAGAGATCGATGCGGCCAGGCAGCATTGGACGCGATTCAGAGGCAGCGAGAGACGATTGCTGCAGAGGAGGCCGAGGACGAGGACACTGGCGCAGAGTCCGAGCCGATCGACAGTGCGCTCCGCAGACACAGAGCGGTCGTGGCCGCGGAAGCCGCAGCAGCACAGGCGGCATACATCAGCGGTGCACAGGGCACAGGTGCTGGGGGCAGTGGAGGGGGCCCGAGAGGAGCGCAGAGACGACAGTCCACCGGGAGAGGCCTCGCGTGTCGTTCTGCAGGGCGGGGCACGGACCGCTCATCTGGAGGAAGAGGGCGATGTTAGTGTTTTTTTTTTTTTTTTTTTTTGCAGGATGTTCTGTTGATACGGTGCTTTCATAGTTATGTTATGTTGATGTTGTTGCTCCGACTTGCTCGATGTGCAGTGCCAGGTCCACAGTGACGGATTGTACGATCGCATTACTTTTTTGTTAGCTACTCTGTGTTACGGTTCAGATGACAAGTCCGGTTTTTGGCTTCAGACATGTGCATACGCATTTCCAGTGGAGTTCTTTTTCACTGCTTTGTTTTTCTCCATGTTCCTCTTCTATCCTCGCTTTTGCATGTGAGTCGCTGTTGTTTGGTGAGTGATTTCTGGTTTGTTGTCGTAAATGTCCCCGATGCAGCGGGTATTGTTGTCGCAATGTTGCAAATCGTGTCTTTGTTTGATGCCACACACATGCATGTCATGGTTGCCCCCATTGTGATGTGTTGTGAATTTCGTATGCCAAATACGGATGATATGCTAATGAATGTGTTGTTTCACGAACCTTCACCAGCCTCACGAATGAACACACACATGCATGCTATGGTTGCCCACATTGTAAATGTGTTGTGAATTTGGTATGCGAAATAGGGATGATATGGTAATGAATGTGTTGTTTCAAAAACTTTCACGAACTTTCACCAGCCTCACGAATGAAATTGATGCCTGCCTGAGCTGCCTCTGGTATGCCATCCACACCCCCGCCCAGCCCCCAGCCGACCCCCACGCCCTAACCCAGCCCCCATCCAACCCCCCTTGAGCCGTCCCCGCATGGGCCGCATATATATATATATTTTTTTGTGTTGTCGACCCTCCTCCCTGTGCGCCTGCGTCGACGAACGCAACTTGGGGGATGCATGAATTTTTCCGGCCCACCCTGCCAGGCCCATGTTTAAGACCCCCCCCGTTTTTAACTTTTTTGACGGTCTCTCACTTCGAGGGGGTGCTCTCCCCCCCCCCCCCCTRAAACCCSCYCCCCSCYCCCAAAACCCCCYCCCCGATCGGCCACGGCCGCGGCTGGAAGTTCTCGGCCGAAGCGGTCGCGGCCGGGGGGGTCCCGTCTACGGCCACGACCGAACTCGGTCACGGCCAGGGGGAAACATAGTTCTTCGAGTCATCCTGCGGCGTCTCCTTTCACGCTTTCCTCCGGTCAACTGCTGCGTCCATCGAAAGTCCGTGTTTTCCTAGCTTAAACCTCTCATCCTTTCCTCAGTAATCTTCATCGCATTGTACACGTCATTCTTGGTGTTGACCGTCCCCCATACATATCCTGATCCTTTTCTTATTTGCCCGTCATTGGCGGCCACTTTGCCTAAATGTCAACCCCCGGACTAAAACTACAAGACTTCGAACAATAGGAACACGTTGCCTACATATGAGGGGGTCGTTACCACCTCGCGGCGACGTATCGCGTCCTCGGTTTTGTCATCCACCTCGATTCGTTCGTCCTTAATAACTTTCAGAATGTCGACGACCTTTTCTGCTCTATCCCCATGGAATGGTCCCATTTCCAACGAAATCTTACAGCAAGCGTCTACCAACCACGAGAAGCCAAGGTCTACTTCATCCAAGGCTTCCGTTACTGCAAGGATGTGTTCGTACCCTCCGAACCAATTTGCTACAAAATGTGGCACCAAGGCCTGGACTAGGATGCTCGGCAGCCTGAGTCGCTCCCATCCTCCTATTACGACCCTATTGCTTACTTCATCCCACCCCTCGTTGGCGAATTCCTAGCCCATATCGCAAGTCCGTTGCTTGGCCTCTCCTAAAATCCACACTGGGCTTTGTCCGGATGCCAGTGCTACACAAAATAGATGCCAACCGTTTTCCGAGAGATTCTACATTCCCCTCGGCTACGTTGTCCCATCCTTCTTCCTCTCTGGACGCGTTCCACATCCTTTCTACCCATAGAAACAATAACGCCAATGTCATCTCCTTTCCTACCTTGTTGCAGGTTGTTCCCCTTCACTCATTTCTTGTTGGCAAGGTCATTTCTATTCCTCTTTCAAACCTTTTTGGCTTCCACCCTTTAAATATCTGGTTGGCTAAATTTTGTTCCCTAGCCATGCTTATCCCCTACACAGTGCCGACCACCCATATCATTTCTGCTCCCGGACCCATTCCTCAAAAGTCACAGTCCTCAATTGCATCATCCGCCTCCTCATCGGTGAGATCGTCCTCTACCTCACACCATAGGCCCATCAGCCCATCCAAAAATATCTCCCCTACTGCTACATTCCTATAGATTATTTTTCAATGGACGGGGCATGGGACAAACACCTCATCCGTGCCGAGACAGTTTAATATTTCGGCTAACTCCCTTGCCCAATTCCCTTCGAAGGGCCCCCTTTCGACTGATAGTGGAAGAAGTCTTGTCGGACGTCTTGATATAACCCAAGGTTCGTCATGGACTAGCATATCCGCACCAGCCTATTCCGGGTCCCGAAGACCACGTCCACTAAGAACGGAGGCACGATACACCTCATCGTCCTGAGTGGCCGCCTATCATTCCCTCTATCACCGAGCTCCACCCGCACATCTATCTTGTTCATCTCCATCTCTTCCCGCTGACATGCCGCCCACACAACTTCTCGCTGACATGCCGCCCACACAACTTCCCGTTCACAATCATTGCATTCTCTCCCTCCTTGGACAAGTAAACCCAGCCTTGGGCTTCCACGGTCCCTCGAAACTCCAGATCTGTTAAACTTGGCGTTAGCCGGATCAGGCTGACCTTGGTCCATAATGTTTCTATCTAAAAGAAGGCGCCCCCTTCGCCCAACATCACGGTTTGATATGGCGGCTCTAGATCCGTCCAGGTCCCTTCTTCCGCCAGAACGACGGATACCCAGTCCTTAACATCTATTCGCATTTCCAGTCCGCTGGAATAGATTGGGGACGATAGTCACCGCGCCATCTTGGCTCCAACACCCGATCCATGTTTTCACAACCAAGCGCCGACCCCGGTTCTCGGGTTTGATCAGCCTTCATCCTGGATAAAAATATTTCAAACCACTTATCAAGGTCTAGCCTAGTTTACCTCCCCATTATCAAATTTTAACCTCCCTCTGATACCTATAACCGGTCCCCTTTTCACCCAAGCTCATTCTCTTGGTTCCTTTCAAAGCTAGACTTTGTCTCTCCCTCTCAAGGTCTTCACTCACTTGTGCGGACTTCAGAGGGGGGTGAGAATATACTAAAATCTTAACCGTTTCCAACAACTTATGTCTCAATCGGCTTTACAGAAGGGGATACAAATCATAAAGAAAACTCAGGCAATCTCACATACAGGCGCAGTCATCTCCTCACTGGGCTCTTTCCAAAGTGATCTCTCCACTGTTACTATCGGTAGAGTTTTATCCCATGCCTCAAGCACAGCTCAACCGTCGCGAGCGAGGTACCTCAACTCCGGCATAGGGTGTTACCCCTCTTCGTTTGCTCAGAATACCCCATCCCATCTTGCCACTCTTGCACACCCCCGTTAGCATCGGGAATCACCCCACGCACCATGATAGGAGCAAAAGTCAGTCGTCCGGGCATTCACTTTCATCAGTCCGATAAGAATCAACATTTCTCATGCCGTACTACGAGAGACTACTAATCGTCTCCGAGGCTCCCTCCTCGCCCCACATGCAGCGGTCCTCCTCTGTCTGCAGATAAGCAGTCGCCCCGCCTTAGAAGATGTTTCGCATCCCGCCTGGGCAAGGTGCTGAGTCATCCCCGGTCCGCCTGAGAGGGAGCGCTACTAATCAACAAACGAGACCAACTCCTGCCAGAAAGTTCGGTGGCCCAACCTCCCACACATGAGACTCGGCGACACTTCAATAAAAACGACTTTTCACAACCCGTCCCAGCTGGTTCAGACCCATCATTTCCTTCCAAAAGGCAGGACGCTCAATTTCCCCTCATGCAGATCGCAAGTCTCAAGTGGGACACACATAATACAATTGTCTTTCCGAAGGTGCATCCTGCACATCCTACCCATGCCTCGCATTATCTCTCAGGACCATGTGTGCCGCTCCCCCTATTGTCCATACACGGCGGCTGGTTCCTTTTTTTTAGCATCTTCAAAGGTGAGCTCGTTTTCCTTGGAGTCTAGGAACTCTCTTCATTCCCATTCTCTTTTTGCGTATGTTGTTTCATAGGGCAGGATTGCTATTTTCTCGATTACCGTTATGTTCATGTTGGTTCTTTCAAGCATGTCAAGTGCATAGTGCATGAGTCTACTGGGCTCAGAAGAAGAAGGGGGAAGAACACCCATTCGGTCGGATCACTCCGCCGAGAGATTTTTATTGGGGTCCGGCCGAAGCCGAGGCACCAACCGCCTGCCAGGTAACCGGAGCCCTTCTTTCACACAAAGAGGAAGGGTTAACGTACGACTTGCCCGATGCTTCTCCGGACCGGCAAACACCAGCACAGGAAAATGGGGGGTTAGAGCTACTCTACAAAGGAGTGAGCTGGTCAAGTGTGCATCATGCATGTTATACCTCCAGGCTTGGCCATGCCATGCGCCCAACCACTCTCAAATTTGACTCTCTCAAGGGGAAGAGCAAACTGAAGTCCAATTTCCTTCTCTTTGATTATGTACACGTCCATGCGTCGGACTCCCCCTTCGGAATCGCAAATGTCAGTTTAACCTTATACCCGGCACCTCCACCATTTTTGTAGGGCCAAACCCCGTTAGACTTTCGAGCCTGTGTCGACCCCACTGGGGGTCCCAGTCGACCCCGCCCCATGCTCATGCTCAAGGCGAGGGTCATTCGTCACGGGGTCGCCCCCACCTTGTGCTTTGAGATGGATGGGGTTGGGTCATCGAGCGAGAGAGGTTTGACATTGGGGATGTAGCTCAGCCCTCGCGCCGGTTGGTAGTCTCGCTGGTCATTCCACAAGCCAAGTTCCTCTGGTTCTTGGTTGTGTTCTCAAGCAATTGCGCCTTCCAATACTCAAGCAGTCCAGGGGTTCATTCAAAATTTTTCTTTTTTTGTGTGTAGGTTAAGCGTCATCCTTAGGCCACACACCTTTTCCCTAATACAACAGTCTTGTGGCATCATCGGGGCGCGGCGTCTCCATCTTCCCCTTCCGCCTCCACACATTTCCATATTCCACGCGTTTCATCCATTGTTGCTAGTGCGTGACCCTTAGTCTTTTCGGGGCCTTCTTACACATGCAAAGACTACTTCACTCCTCAATCAATCAAGACTTCGCTCGTCGCCCAATCCACACACAAAACTCCATTTACCAAGAGTTCGTTCACCGATAGAGTTTACACTAAGGGCCATAGTATTTTGCTCATCCATTTCTCTTCCCTTTTGTTGACACATCCCTGGCCCAATCTCGATCAGGTCATCCCAAGCTACTCAGCTGCACAATCAAACACAAGTGCAAGTCCAATACAATCCCCCATTGGGGTCAACACATAACCCTTTTCACATGCCTATCTTTCTTTCTTTGCTCTTACTTTCGATTCTTTTTATCATGCTCAGCCAATCCATCCTCTTCTCA